ATGGGCCAGGTGCCCTAGCAGAGGCTAAACATTCCCAGACAGGCTCTCTGTAACTTTGCAGGGAAAGACTGCAGGCACAGAGGACAAGGTTTACGTGAGGCTCAACACACAGGCTGCGGCTATTTTGAAATAACTCAGCTATTTTAATAACCCTAACCCTAACCCTCGGCTATTTTGAAATAACAAGTGGAGCGTCCACACTACCAAGCCCGTTATTTTGAAATAATAACTCTTGCTTTCCATGAGGAATAACGCTTATTTCAGAGTAGACACTCCACTGCTGCTATTGTGGAATAACTACTCCCCAGAGTCATTCAAAGTAATTACTCCCCAGTGCTTCCTGGGGCTCTAAGTTGAGGCAGGGCCCTAGATTAAGGGGTGAATTGCTCCTTCCTTTGAAACATCTGGTGCTGGCACCTGTCAGAGATAATTTAGGAGACTAAACTGAGCTGGGGTGTGATCCTGTTGGTGGCTGAATGCAAACAGTGGGTGAAATGCCATTATCAGTGAGAGTTGGCTTCTCTCTGTGAATGCAAACCTATTGGTTTAATTGATTCTGTACAGGTGCAGCTGGGAGAAGAATTTGGCTGCCAATTTCTACAGTATTTTGGGATTATATGCAATATAGACAGGTAAGCTATTAATATTTAATATTATTGCAGAGCTGGATTGTTTAGCACAAGTTGGCATCATTTTTCCCTGGGTTTTTTCAAGTCCATGGGAATTTAGCAGGTGTGGAAGTGTTTGTTACCTTGTACTGTATCATTACGTGGTTATCATTTTCCCCTCTCTATATTTCTGGGTTATCACTGGCCTAGTGGTTTATCAGGAGACAGTGCAGATAAATTATTTTAATTGCTAGTTCAAACAGAGCAGCTTATCAAATGTTCAGTATAAAATGAATTGCACTGGGAAAGTGTTGTCATTGCATTTTTAAAAATGATTTGCTATTTGATTCTGCTTAGTTGCTTGGGTAAGTTATAATTAGAATATTTGAGATAGGGATGGGAGGGTGGCTGATCCAGGTTAAGACTCCATATAATGGACTGCATTCATTTCTTTGTGGGTAGGGGCAATTTTTGGAAGCCCTCTGAGATACGAGGTTCACAATGAGCGAGTAATTGGAGGACATGAGGCACAGCGAAACAGCTGGAAGTGGCAGGTAAAATTTGTATTTGAAATCTTTTGCTTATTAAAAAACAAAAGGGTTTGAGAACATGACAGCAAAGCAGAAATATGGGATATCAGACATGGACAAATTTTCTCTGGTGCTAGTCAAAGCAAATATACCACTTTATTTATCCATTGGTCCAGCATGTTAACATGAAACAGAAGCTGTGGTTCATGAACTATAAAGGATTAGAAAACATGCTTTAAACTGATAGACTCAAAGAGCTGCATATATTTATCTTACCATAAATATCTTACTAAAAACATCCACTTATTGTGCAGTGGCAGTCAATAAAGCAAATAGATTGTTAGGAATTATTAAGAAAGGGACAAAGAAGACAAAAAATATCTTAGTGCCTCTATTTAAATCCATAGCACACCCACATGTTGAATACTGCGTACTCAAAAAAATCTTGGCATTGGAAAAATTTCAGAAAAGGACAACAAAATGTATTAGGGCTATAGGACAGCTGCTATATGAGGAGAGATAAATAAGACTGAAACTTTTCAGCTTGGAAAAGAGATGACGAAGGGAGGGAGATGATAGAGGTTTATATACGGACTGGTATGGAGAAAATAAATAAGCAAGTTTTATTTACTCCTTCTTATAACACAAGAAGTAGGGGCCACCAAATGACATTAATAGGTAGCGGGTTTAAAACAAACAACATGAAATATTTCTTCCCACAGTGCAGTCAATCTGTAGAACTCCTTGCCCAGAGGATGTTGTGAAGACCAAGTCTATAACAGGGTTCAAACAAGAATTAGATAGATTCATGGAGGTTAGGTCCATTAATGGCTATTAGCCAGGATGGGCAGGAATGGTGTCCCTAGCTTCTGTTTGTCAGAAGCTGGGAATGGGTGACAGGGCATAGATCACTTGATGATGACCTGTTCCATTCATTCCCTCTGGGGAACCTGACATTGATCACTGTCAGCTGACAGGATACTGGGCTAGATGGACCTTGATCTGACCCAGTATGGCCGTTCTTATGTACCAAAGAGAAGGTTCAGGGGAGATTGGATTACACCTATAAATATCTACATGAGAAATGAATATTTAATAATTGGCTCTTTAATCTATTAAATATATAACATAATCCAATGCCTGGACAATGAAGTTGGACACGTTCAGAGTGGAAATAGGATATACGTTTTTGACAAGAGAATAATTAACCATTGGAAAAATTCATAAGGGTTGTGGTGGATTCTCCATCATTCAGCATTTTAAAATCAAGGTTGGATGTTTTCCTAAAAGATATTTTCTAGGAACCTTTTTTGTGAGGTTGTATTCCTGTGTGAGGATGTTCACAATGATCCCTTCTGGCTTTGGAATTTATTAATCAATGAAAACCAACATGACTTTAAAATCCTATTTGAATTCACAAGCCCAGCATTTAGAAAAAAAATTGTATTGTTTGTATACTAAGTAATTTAATATGGAAACTAGCAAGAGACAATAAGACTGGAATCTTTTGTTGCCATTTTTACAAAGTTACCTTTTCAGAATGTAGCTACATTTTAACAAGCCCAATTTTCCTTTAATAATCATCTATGTTCAGCAGAAGTCAGTGACTCCCAACCTTGTCTACATGTATAATTTGCATTAGTCCAACTACAATCTGTTTTAAAATCAATTTAGCTAAACTAGTACAAACCTCTGTGTGGACATACTGAATGAAATCTGTTCATAACTACCTTATGTCTATTATCTTAATTCAGAAATTTTGGGTATGTCTAGACTACATCCCTCTGTCGGCAGAGGGATGCAGATTAGGCAGGTTGACATTGCAAATGAGGTAGGAAGGCATAAGGGATCTGTCGAAAAAGACTTTCTTTCTTGACAGATTCCCCTCTAGACTGCCACTTTTTGCCGACAAAGTGCCGAGTTGGCAAAACGTGGTGGCCATTTTATGCAAATTAGGCATGGGATTTTTAAATCCCTGCCTCATTTGCAATGTCGACCTGCCTAATCTGCATCCCTCTGCCGACAGAGGAGTGCAATCTAGACATAATAATTCCCATTGTTAAAGTAAGTTTGGGTATATAGCTTTCCTTAAAAATATGAAGAAAATACAAAGCAAGATATAAGTGCTTACTAAATGATGTTACAGCTATGATTTCACTCAAGATACTATTCTAATATTAATATTAACATTAAATACATTGATGAACTGTAAATGGAAACTGCACTCTAAAGTTATTAAGGATTCACTTTATTAGGTTACTTTGTACATCGACTACATAATAACTTTCTCAGGCTGGGTCTACACTAAACCTGGAGGGTGGGCTTAACGTACGCAACTTCAGCTATGTATACGTAGCTAGAGTTAGTTTACCTTAAGCTGGGGTTGGAGCCATCCACGCAGTAGGACAACGAGAACAAATGCTCCCATTGGATTCCTTTACTCCTCACAACTGTGAGGGGTACAGGCACTAGCTGGAGCTGCCCTCTGCATTCAATTTATGGGTCTATACTAGACCTGCTAAATTGAATGCCAGAACATCGATCTCCAGCACGGCAAGTGAAGACATGCCCTCAGAGGAGTCCTGTGGCACCTTAAAGACTAAAAGATTTATTTGGAATTAAGCATTTATTGTTTTTCAACTGTTTTTTCAAGTTGTTTTTACCCACAAAAGCTTATGCCCAAATAAATCTGTTAGCTTTAAGGTGCCACAGGACTTCTCATTATAATAACTTCTGGTATGTTTGTACTCTGGACCTTAGTTATTTGACCATTAGTATAACAATAAAAAGACTTCATGTTTGATATTAACTAATATAAAGTCTAATCTGACTGAAATTATTTAAAGAGGTGCTGTTGAAATTAAAAATTTGTATTTTCACACACACACCCTGGAAATTCACAATTGTTAGCAATACATCTTTGTGACTGACTAGCCCAATTGACCATCTTTGATTTGAAGGCTGTTGTGATGGGGTGTGCAGGTCTTCTGTAGTGACTCTGAAAACTCTACCCTGCCCAGTGACAAGCCTTGGAGGAAACCTTGCGGAGCTAACCAACATTCTGGGGTTTCACAGGTTAACGTGCAGCTATGTTCAGAGTGAGGTCAGGGAGACACTGCCTCCTGGGAGCTAATTAAGTGCAGCTAAGCCTATTTAGACACATCATCTTTAGATTAAGGGTGTCTTTATCTAGGTAATATCCTTATTTTATTGCTGGTCAAAATGAGACAGAGAGGTTTAAAGTCATGGATGGTTCTCTGTAGACCCATGGGAGGGATTCCCATTTCAGTACCCACGTGGGGGCTGTTGTCTTCCCATATGTCATTTTAGTTTGAACTTTCATCCCAAATAATGTTTTTCTAACCCCATAAAATTTATTCACATTAGTTAATTATGCACAAACATAAGGATTCTGCATACATTAATGATAAAGATGTTCCACAGCCAAACATTGCACCTACATGTTAATCCTGAACAAGTGGCTTTCTGTAGCGTACTAGTGTTGAGGTGCTAAAGAGTTAATGGTGGTATTGTAATGCTCTGCTAATCCGAACTCTCAGATTCAAGCCTTGTTTGGATTAGGTAAAGTGTTTTTCTTTCAATCCAGTTAACTCCAAAGGGTGTTAAATTGGGTCTACATTGAGGATAAGTAAACAATTGAGTTAAGCCATCTTCATTGATCTTACTCAATTCAAAAAATTACCCCTTCTTCATAAGTTAGACAATTTTGGAGACGACTTACTTCCTACCACTGCACTGGATAGCACACATTTAAGCAGACACAGAAAGCAAGCTCCAGGGAGGGTGTGGGTGGATTGCAGGGCATGTAACAGACTGAAATAACTCTGGTAAACTGCTGCAGAGCTCGGAATGGAACGCTGATGTTCAATATTTTACCATTTGATACAGGTGTCCCTCCAAATAGCCGATGCATACTATCCTGACTATTATTCTCATATCTGTGGTGGGACCCTTGTTAGTCCCAACTGGGTCATGACTGCTGCCCACTGTATCCTAACGTAAGTAAAATAAAATAATGAGAGGTAAAATAATAAGAGGCTTGTAACTCTTGCTACAAATCCCAGTTCTGGTTCTCATTCTGGACTGCTACCGGGCAGGGCCACTGATGGAGGCATGGGAAGAGGGGGTAGCTGTCCCGGGCTTGGTGATTTAAAAGGGCCCAAGGCTCCCTGCCCCACCATTGCTACCACAGCAGTGACAGCAGCTGGAGCCCAGGGCTGATTAAACTACTGCCAGAGCCCCAGGTGGTGCACTCTAGAGAGTGCTGAAGGGCTGACTGGGAAAGGCTAGCTCCACCCCTTCTGCCTGAAGCCACACCCCTTCCAGGGGGACCAGAGCCAGCCCCCCTCATCTTGCCCAGGGCCTGGCAAAGTCTGCTGGCTGCCCTGTTACCGGGCCATTTAAACATTTGTAGAATCGTAGAAGATTAGGTATGGGAGAGACCTCAGGAAGTCATCTAGTCCTACCCCTTACTCAAAGCAGGACCAATCCCAACTAAATTGTTCCATCCAGGGCTTTATCAAGCCTGGCCTTATAAACCTCTAAGGATGGAGATGTCACCTCCTTCCTAGAATCTCATTCCAGTGTTTCACCACCCTCCTAATGAAATATTTTTTCCTAATATTCAACCTAGACCTCCCCCACTGCAACTTGAGACCATTGCTCCTTGTTCTGCCATGTGCCACCACTGAGAATAATTTAAGCTCCATCTTCTGTGGAAGCCCCCTTCAGGTAGTTGACGACCGCTATCAAATCCCTCCCTCCTCATTCTTCACTTTTGCAGACTAAATAAGGCCAGTTTCTTCAGCCGCTCCTAATAAATTGATGTGTCCCAGACTCCTAATAATTTTTGTTGTTCTCCTCTGGACTCTCTCCAATTACATCCTTTCTGTAATGGGAGTTGAAAACTGGACTGGTACACCAGGGCATAATCCCTTCCTTCTATCTGCTGGCAATGTTCCTCCTAATGCAGCCCAATAAGCCATTAGCCTTCTTGGCAGCAAGGGCACACTCTCTAGTCATATCCAGCTTCTTGTTCACTGTAATCCCTAGGTCCTTTTCTGCAGAACAGCCACTTAGCCAGTCTGTCCCCACCCTGTAGCAGTGCATAGGATTCTTCCATCCTAAATGCAGGTCTCTGCAGTTGTCCATGTTAAATCTCATCAGATTTCTTTTGGCCCAATCCTCCAAATTGTCTAGGTCACTCTAGACCCTGTCCCTCCCCTCCCCCATATATATAGCTTTCCCCCCAGTTTAGTATCATCTGTGAACTTGCTGAGAGTGCAATCCATCCATTATCCAGATCATTAATGAAGATGTTGAATAAAAGTGGCCCCCAGACAGACCAGTGGGGCACTCCACTGGATTCCAGTGGCTTGATGTCTAGCTGGCAGCTGGGTGCCAGTCACTACCATACTCCAGCAAAGACCTCCCCAACTCATATTCATGAGTTGGCAGCTGGTACCAGAGTTTCCAAAATAGTAAAATGTGGATAGTATTGCTTTATCTCACAGGTATGTCTGTAAAATCACTCTGAAGAGCTTCACATCGAATTATCTAAGAAGACTGGAATTTTTGAGAGAGAGTTAGACAGACAGAAAAATAATGATTGTAATTAATTTTCAATTTATTTTCAGGACAATTGGAACAAATTACCAAGTGGCTCTTGGCGAGCACAATCTCTTTGAGTTGGATGGCACTGAATATTTTATTGGTGTGGACAAAATATTCATTCATGAAGACTGGAACCCTTATGATATTGGGAATGGGTAATTTGTTTTGAATACAATGTTGGCATTGACATGAGTATGAATGTTCTTGCTTAGGGGCCAGTCCAGCAAATGTTTATGTACATATTCTATTCATCACCCTCTGAGGTTTAGGATGGCCTTGTAGAAAACACTGGACTGGAACTCAGAACATCTGGGTTCAATTTCTGATCTGTAATCTTCCTGTATGACTTAGTAAATTATTCAATCCCTCTGTGCCTTCAGTTCTCCATCTGTAAAAGGCATTTTAAGGCTACATTATTAAATTTATGGTGGCACAGGAAGCTATATAAGCATCTAGATAGGTAAGGAAAAAGTGAGCAAGGATATACAGAGTTTGGTCGTGACTGACTCAAGAATTTTGCCTCATAGCATGCAAAGGGCTAATATCTGTGTCCTGTTTCAGAAATGACATTGCCTTGCTGCATCTCTCTTCACCGGCCTATAGTAACGGCTTTGTTGAGACAGGAATGCTTCCGGCTGAAGGCGACATTTTGCCTAATAATTCTCCATGTTATATTACTGGATGGGGAGTGTCTAGCGGTAAGTGGAAAAAAGTTAATCCCCATTCCAGGACTGACCTAGACCAGAGACCCAGCACAACTCGTTTTCTCAATAAAACCTATTGTCGTGCAACATCTTTGACAGCTTAAGTAGGATGAACATGGTGCATGGGTCTTCTAATGGCTCCCTGCAGAGGTGCGAATGTTGCGTTCTGCTCTTGCATCACATCCTGTATTTTCCTACAGTAAATATTTCTGAAATAGCATGATGTTTATCACCATTTAGCATTCAGTGTGGACACGCATTGCCACTTTTAATGTCTCAGTGACAGTGGCTTATCCTGGGATCTGCTCTAGGGTTGGCAATGACCGGCTATCATGATTCAAGTGGTAAAAGCTTGTTTTGAGCACTAAACTTAGCAGACATGACTGACTAGACACAGGGAAGAGATCCTATGAGTAAGCAGGGGACATATTGGCCTCATCCTGCACCCAATGCTACTATGGTTCCATAGAGTTGTACCTTACTCAGTAAGTAGTACTGCCAATAAGGTACTACTCAATGGCTACGTCTACATTGGCATGATTTTCCGGAAATGCTTTTAACGGAAAAGTTTTCCATTAAAAGCATTTTTGGAAAAGCGCATCTAGATTGGCAGGACGCTTTTCCGCAAAAGCACTTTTTGCGGAAAAGTGTCCGTGGCCAATCTAGATGCGCTTTTCCGCAAAAAAGCCCTGATCGCCATTTTCGCGATCGGGGCTTTTTTGCGGAAAACAAATCTCTGCTGTCTACACTGGCCCTTTTGCACAAAAGTTTTTCGGAAAAAGACTTTTGCTCGAACAGGAGAAGCATAGTATTTCTGCAAAAGCACTGACAATCTTACATGAGATCGTCAGTGCTTTTGCAGAAATTCAAGCGGCCAGTGTAGACAGCTGGCAAGTTTTTCCGCAAAAGCAGATGATTTTGTGGAAAAACTTGCCAGTCTAGACACAGCCAATGAGAATAAGGGCAGCAGAGGTGGTACTTTATTTTTAATTATCGTGTCTCAGGAGCAGAATATTGTCTTTTCTCCTTTTAGCTGGTGGCAGCACGCCTGACAAACTTCAAGAAGCGATGCTCCCAGTGGTTGACCATGCCATCTGCTCTCAGCCTAACTGGTGGGGCTCTAATGCAAAGGATACCATGGTGTGTGCTGGTGGAGATGGCGTGAAGGCCGGGTGCAGTGTAAGTGCCATATTTTCTGTGATTTCTCAACCCTTTCTCTTTTCCCCTTCACCTCCTTTCCAATACAAGCCCATTCCTACAGGAATTGAAAGTAATTTACAACACACTCCCACAACGCATGCAACATTGCAAGAGTTCAAACCTTCCTGAAAAGCTAAGTTCTATTTCTTGAGCTGCGTTCTCTTTATTTTTATTGCTGCTAATTGACCCCTCCCATAGCGAACCCATAGAAAGAGAGTGAAAAAGAGGACAGCTCCAGAGTACTTCTTCAAGTGGGGTCTCAGTGGGTTTTCCAGTTTAGGTGTCAGTGTGTCCCGGTGCTGTCAACTAGAGATTTTTGGTATCAGGGTCCATCCTGGCTGTATGTGCGCAGTGATTGTCTTGCAGCACCGTTGGCACCTTGACTAGTCAATGCTTGCAGCCTGCCCCCCTCACATCCTTCACCACTGTTCTTGGACTGAGACGCAGCCCTGCAGCAGTGTCAAAAGACAGTCTAGGAAAATAATTAGTTAGAAATTATGAGTGTTAATTCGGTTTTAAGTAAGTTACTACTTAGCTATTTCTCATTCCTTTTGGTTTGCATGTCAAAACTTCGGTTATTCAGTTTTAAAAATTATCTTGATGAGGGACAGTAAAAAGATGCCTGGGTGTTCCTTGTGTAAAGGCATGATGCTGATTTCTGTCGGCCATTCCCTCATTGCTTAGTGCACTCACTGCAGCGACCTAAGAGGTACAGCCAGATGAGACCGAGATCTCCTACAGAAACTCATTCTCATGGAGAAATCCCTCCAGGCAGCTTCTGATGCCAGACAACAGAGCCCCTCAATCAGGGACTCTGTGGGCAGTTACCCTTAGAAACAGCAAGAACTCACTCCTCCAAGAAAGTGAGGAGAAGGGACACATCGTGTCAGGAGAGGGAACCATTGAAAAGAACAGTCTCCTGCAGTCTCTAGCCTCGCTTCCGGCCAGGCTGAGAGTGAGCACCGTAAATGCACCAGGAACCTCCAGCTCTACGTGCACAGGGCAAGAGGCAAACACAAGCAAAACGCCTTCTCCATGGCACCAGCAATGCTGGTGAACAAGACATCATCGCAGCTCTTAAAGCCGATGCCCTCACCATCAATGCCTCCAACAGTATAAGCACTAATAGATCCATTTCGGCACCACTGGCACAGACAAAGGTAACATAAAAATCAGCACTGACCACAACACTTGCAAAAATATCGAAACAGAAGCTCATGGCACTTCACCAATTCATATATCAAGAGGATATGGTGGTATCTTCCATCACAGGCTTACCATCATTCAGTACTGATGAATCCCTGGTACCAACAATACTGGAGCAACTTAACTCCCCCATCATGCCATTCTCCAGCGATGAGGAGGATGAATTCAAGAAGGGCACCTTTTCATTGTGCTACTCTTCACTGACCAGCACTGGACCAATGCTGGGATGTGTCAAATCCTGAGACCAGTGGGACAGACACACACAGCCATGATCCGGATACCATGGATGTTCCCCTCTGTGCCATTCCTGATGCGATGGTCACAATGGAGCACATGGGCAGCCTACCTAAATCATATAATAGACCAAATAGGAGGCATTAAAACCTCAGTACAGGAACCCTCAGTGGGCTCTGTGTAAATGGATGACCACAGAGAAATGCACCTGGGACAAGACACATCACCTGCCCATAACTCCTCGTCATTCGTGAATGACCTCCGCTTCCTATGGCTGTAGATTATTTTAAACAATTCCAAGAATTGTTCTGGTGAGTAGCACAATGCCAAAACATCCCAGCTGAGGAAGTAGCTGATACCCAACATCAACTTCCAAAGGTCCTCCACATATCTCCTACTGCCAATTAATGATGCAATAATGAATTTAGTGGAAACAGTATGACAAATAGGTCCACTGATGAGAGCAGGGGGGACAGTTCTCCAGAGCTTGGTGATTCAAAGGGCTTCAAAGCTCTGCTCACCACCACTGTTGCAGTAGCAGCGGTGGCAGCCAGCACCCGGCGCACCTTGGAATCACTGCTCCAGTGCTGGAGCTTCATGCCGGGCACTCCGAGCAGCTCTGAACTCTAGGAGGTACCACAATGCGGGTGGTGCTGAGGATTGGCTGCCCCCAGCTATGCCCTTGCTGTCTGAGACCCTACCCCATTCATGGATGTGGAGCTGACCCCACCCCACATTTTACCTCCGGGCCCATGCTGGCTGTTGGCTCAACTCAGACACTTGGGGATCTATCATTACGGATCAATAGGTCTTGGAAATAACTCTACTGGGTTATAGTTATGCCACCCGCTTCAACAGGCATTTGATAAGTGCCTTAAACATTAATTATATTGCATGGGATGGGGCAGAAAGAGTTATCTTGCTCTGTGTGTGTGTGTGTGTGTGTGTGTGTGTGTGTGTGTGCTTGTTCAGATAACAAATAGTTATGGGCTTGATTCTACAATGTGCCATGTTCCTTCTGGGAGGTGCTGATCACTCATTGCTCCCTTTGGTTTCAGTATGTATCGGCGGTACTCATCATCTCTCAAAATGTCCTAAGCACATCACAATATCTGGCCCAGTGACTGGAGTGTTCATGAGTTAATTAGTTGTCACCACCTTTCCAACCCTTTTTCTAAACTTCTAAGAAAATCTGGGTGCAACTAACTGTGTCACTTCTCCCCACTCTGGTTGCAGGGCGATTCAGGGGGCCCTTTGAATTGTTACAGGAATGGTTACTGGCAAATCCATGGCATTGCTAGTTTTGCGATTGTCCCCTTCTGCGACACCTATCAGAAGCCTACAGTCTTCACACGGGTATCAGCTTTCATCCCCTGGCTCTATAATGTAAGTCCCTCCAAACTTAAGGGTTTACGTTTATTCTGGGATAAGTTTGACCCAGTCCATTCAGTTATTACATTAAGAACAGAACTGAGAAACGTTGAAAGTTTAAAATCCAAAATGCTTTGGCCTTATTTTTGGCACATTCATATATTTCTGATGAAGGAGAATAAGTGCAGTCACTGTCTGGGAATACTAGGATTGAAATACAACACGTAAGGCTGACAAATCCTGCTTAGCCATGAAGTATGAAATCTGATAAATTAAGCTTTACTTATACAAGAAAATAAAAGACATGGCAACAAACTATTGGTGTAATCCTATGGCCTGTGTCATGTAGGAGGTCAGATATGCTGGTGCTTTTTTGCCTTAAAATCTATGAGTTGCCTGATATATTTTGAGACTGACACCTCGACAATGCTGCGTGCACACGTACAGCAGCCATCCCAGATGAGTAGGACAAGCATGGTTGTAGCAGTTGGTTCTAATATCTGAGACGATGTCTTTAGTCATGTTTGTCAGGAATCCATGCAGTCTGCTATTATATCTCTGAATCCAACCTGGGGCAGTACAGTTGTAGACTGTATCAACAAATGAGCAAGTGCTAAAGCTGACCTAGTTCAGCTGATTTCCCCAATGCAGTCAAAGCTTTGGCTTTTGGAAATGTCCCAAGGGCCCTTCCTCCCAATGATAGTGTGCACCATAATGGGGTGTCTGCTTCCAGGGTCACAGGAAAATGCTGAAGTACGATCATGCTTGTAAGATGTGCTCTGTACCAGACATCCTTAAAAGCAAATGGATGTTCTAAACCATTATGAATACATTTATTGCAGAAGATGGCTGTCTCTGCAATGCATCCCTCACCTAGTAAAAAGAGAGCCAACTTTCAAAGGGTTAAATGGCATCTTACCTGCACCACAGCAGTTAGTGTCAACAGGAATCCACAGAAACCCAGTGGATTCATTCAAAGTAACTTACCCTTTAGTTGGAGAGTGCCCGTGACTAACCTGAACTCAGTATATTTGGAAAGTTGTTGTCTTATTATCAGATTTTTAGCCTTGCTTCAGCTGCACGTGGAAGCCTTGTGAATCCAGCCAGCTAGGAATTCCCCTCCTATAGGAAAACACCTTGTTAGTATAAAGCTAGTGTAACACACACACCTACTGTGTGGTTACTGAGTAATGCAAGAGTAAACCTAGACTATAACAACAGTTAAGACCAAGAGACCTCTACAGCATGGGTTGGGAGCCAGCTGGCTTTTAGCTCAGAGGGTAAGCGCTCCTATAGTCTGCTTTAGAGGCCCCAGGTTCAAATCTGCTGGGTGGCGGTTTTACTAGCAAAGCTAGTCATCTCCTTCTGGCTTCCCTCAGTCCCCTGGCAGGGGACATGCCAAGAACATGATGACTGGGGTGAAGAGGACATGGCTGAAGTGCTGAGGCAATTCCCAGCACATAGAACAGCCCTGAAGCTGCACCAGGAGTTGAACCAGCCCCACCAGCTCCAGTACGGAGAGAGCCCAGGGATAGAATAGTCACATTTGCCCCACTTCCCTGAGCTGGGCTGAATGGAGAGATCTGGCACAGCTGAGGACTGGGCTGAATGGAGAGATCTGGCACAGCTGAGGACTGGCCTAGCATTTGTATTCAGCCATTTTAAAATAGTGTGAGAAGAAAACTGAATATATTCTGTACTGAACCCTCTTCTCTTTGTTGTTTTCAGACTATGAAGAATAATGGTGGATTTTAAGGATCAGCGTGTACATGAATGTGAACTACTGAGCGAAGACCTATGCCTGTTAATTTCTCCCTCTTTTTGGTGACATTAATAGGCTGCAATAATAATAATAATTAATAAAACACTGAATTAAAAGTCTGTACTACTGTGCATTACAACATAGGAAGCCCATGCACATGGGATAAGGTAGCAGTTGTACTTGTCTTATGGATATTGTGAAGGTGTGGACTAAGCCCAAGGTTTCCTGCTGGAGACCTCAGAGCTCTGCCACCCCTATCCCAGGAGAGGAGCAAGTGAAGAGGTCCTCCAAGCAGGCTAGAGTGGTTGCACAAGAAGCAACCAATCAGAGCCCAGGAGAGCTCTATAAAAAGGAGTGGCAGAACAGAGTGAAGGGAAGGTTGATAAGAGTTGTTGGGCTGAGCTGCTACTAGGTAGTAGAAGGAGATGGACTGGATGCCCAGCTGCCTGAGGGACCTGCAATACAAACATAGCTAAATGGGGAGGAACCAGGGCAGTGAGATGCTTCTGGCTAGCTGCTTGGATTGGGTGAGAACTGAGCTTGGAGAGAGCCCCAGAAGAACAGTGTTTTAAGGGAAAACCCCAAGGCTAAGATTATTTCAAAACAGATTATTTAACCTGCTCTTAAATATCTCCAGTGATGGGGATTCCACAACCCCCCGAGGCAACTTATTCCAGTGTTTCACCACCCTGACAGTTAGGAACTTTTTCCTAACGTCCAACCTAAACTGCCCCTGCTACAGTTTAAGCCCATTGCTTCACAAACTTCATGCACTGCGACCTTCTTCTGACAACAAAAATTATTGCATGACCCCAGAAGAGGGGGCCTGAGCCTGCCTCCGTGGGTGAAGGACAAAGCCCAAGCCCCACCACCCTGGGCAAAGGGGGCAGGGCAATGCTCGAGTTCCACCAGCCTGAGAAGAGGCTCAGTGCCCAAGGGTTTCATCCCTGGGCCTGGGGCCAATAACCTGCGTCCTTCCACCCAGGACTGAAGCCAAATCCTGAACCATCGGTGGTGTAGCTCAAGCTGCAGCCTGGGGCCTGTGGAGTTTGGGGCTCAGGCTTGAGCTCTAGCTCCCAGACAGTCAAATGCTACCCCATTATAATGGGGTCATGATCCACTTTGGGGTCGCAACTCAGTTTGAGAATCAATGACTTAGAGACATTGGTGCTGGAATGGGAGGAGGGAGCCATTGTCCTCTTAATGTTTCACTCACACAAAACCAAACACTCTTGCCTCCGTCCCCTGCGCCAGCCCTGCTCTGAGGCCCTGACCCTGCCTTACCCTTCTCTGAGGCCCTGCCCTCCCTCACTTCATCTCCCTTGCTTTGTTGCTCGCTGGGTGTGATGGCTTTGGCTGGGGGTACAGACTCTGGGATCAGCAAGGGATGAGGGGTTTGGGGTAAAGGAGGATGCTCTGGGCTGGGACTGAGGGTTTTAGAAAGCAGGAGGAGATTCATTGCTGGGGCAGGGAGTTGGAGCATTGGAGGGGGTAAGGTGGGCAGGCTCAGGGTGGCACTTATCTCCAGCAATTCCCAGAAGCTGCGACATGTTGCCCTGCAGGCTCCTACGCGAAGGCAAGGCCAGGTGGCTCTATGCACTATCCCATTGGCAGGCACTGTCCCCACAGCTCCCATTGGCTGTGGTTCCAGGCCAATGGGAGCTGCAGAGCTGGCACTTGGGGCAGGGGCAGCATGCAGAACTCCCTGGCTCAGGCTGGGGATATAGGATGTGGCTGCTCTCAACCCTCCCCCGCCCCCACTCCAGCTCCTGAGTTCTGCAGCTCCTGGTGTGCTCCTGTATCCAGCTTGTCCAGGGGAAAGCCCCTTGGGTGGAAGAAGAGGGGTGAGGGCAGGGGGGCCTGATTCTTGGCCTCCCATTGTTGGGTAGGCTCTGCCACCCCTGTGTAGAGATGGTCTTGGAGTTACGTGAGGGTCAGCCCGGGCCCTAGAGGCCTCAGGCATGTGAGCTTTGGGGCTCCATTTCTCTGAAGGGTAGACTGAGAGTTGGTGCCTAAGAAATGAGCTAGAGACCAAAGGATAGAATAGTGCTACGGCTTGCTGAGACCAAGGGGAGCTTAAACCAACCACGGATCCAGGTGCTTGGTTTTCCCTCATAGCAGTTTAGTGAGTGACCACAAGGGGGCTCTAGAAGTGTGACAGACAGATTACGCTTTTGGGGTGTTTTCCCTGAGATTCAGTGAAACAGCCTCACTGCTGCATGCACATGTAGGTAGGAATACACTGCAGCTGACAGTTTACTTTCAGGGTCGGCATAAAACTGCCCCTGGTGGAAGTGAACACTCTGCTCACAGAACTTTCTGTATTCCCACAGACCAAAATCTTCCCTAAGGCAGAGTTAAAATGACACGACGTGAAGATAAAAATCCTCACGAGAGCACTGTAGCTAGTAAAACCACAAACTATTAAAATTCAGAATTAGAGCCCTCTGTCTTGGGTATTTCTATAACCCCCGTAACTGCAGCATGTGAGCACCTGACAACCTCGAGTGCATTTATCCTCACAAGTCCTCAGAGAGGCAGGGCAGTGCTACCAGCCTGAGGCTCAAACCAATGAAGCGATTTGCCCACAATCCCCCCAGACGTCTGGTGAAGTAGGGCATGTAAGCTGGCGCGTTCTCAGCCACGTACAATTAGCGCACTCTTAGCTAAATTGATAAGAAACCCAAACGTTTGAGAGAAGTCCTGTCCTTGGTGAATATCTGAAATCTAGACCCTCTTACCCACCTCTTCGACTGCTGCAGCACTTCTGGGGTCATTCCATCCATCAAAGAGACACCTTGAGCACAGCATGTTGTCAAAGCCAGCTGCCATCCTACTGGGACCAGATGCAGCTGATGCAGGCAAGCTACCAGCAAGCACACCTGTGTGCTGGCTAGGCCCAATTTTTCACATGCTGCCACTGCTGAGGATGCCTTGGCACAGCACAATACATGCCAATCCGGGGTGTTAGCTTAAATCAAGACCGCATGTCTTTCTGAAAAACTAGTCTGTAGTTCAAAGAGTAGCGCTGGGCTTTATGCAGAAATCACTGGGTGAAGTTCGATGGCTTGTGTTATGCAGGAGGTCAGACCACAGAGTTACCGACAGGGGGAGAAAAAGGAGCAACTGCCCCAGCACCCTGTGATTTAAAAGGGCTTTGGGCTGCTGACCGCCGCTACCATGGCAGTGGCTGGAGTCCTGAGACCTTTAAATTGCCACCAGAGCCCGGGGCATGTCTGCTGGGCTGGCTGGAGAAGTCTAGACCAGAGCCAGTCTTAGGGGCAGGCAAACTGGGCGGTTGCTTGGGGCCGCCATTTTTAAGGGGCCGCTGACAAAGCCCGATGGAAGCCCGCTGCCTCCCCCTAGAAACTTCTCAAGTCTTCTCAAATGTTCTCTGTGACAGATGCCTCTCCTTTTATAGTAGTATAGATGATGGGGCTCAGGGCAGCGGTGGGAGGGGCAGGAGTCAGAGCAGGAGGTTGGGTGTGGGGGGGCTCAGGGCAGGAGGCATGAGGGTGCAGGAGTCAGGGCAGGGGTTGGGAGTTGTGAGGGGGCTCAGGGCAGGGGGTGGGGATACAGGTCAGGGGTGGGAATTTCAGAGGAGGGGGGTTGGATGTGGGGGGCGGTTAGGGCATGAGGTTGGGGGGGGGGGGCAGGAATCAGGGCAGGGGATGGCGAACTTTCCTATCCACATAGTGCTGACCACACCAGCGCTTCTGTTGGTATAACTTATTTGTTTTTTTTCACACCCCAGAAATTCTATTGGCAAAGGTGGTACCATAGTCATGGCCTATGTCTTTTCAAGTTTAGGGCCTAAATCCCACAAACACTTTCGCATAAGAGCAGCACTACATGTATGAATCCTCCCTCTAAGGTAGCCTGTACCTTGTAATTTGTAAAGTGGTTGTGTAACCACCACCAGGCAGATTTGAACCTGGGACCTCTGAAGCACTAGCCTCTACCCTCTGAACTAAAAGCCAGCTGGCGCCCAGCCCATGCTGTAGAGGTCTCTTTAGCTTAACTGTTGCTGTGGTCTAGGTACCACTCACATTGCTCAGTAACCACACTAGGGCTACATCTAGACTGGCCAGATTTAGCGCAAATTCTCTAAATGCAAGAGTTTTTGCGTTAGAGTATTTGAGTAAGAGAGCGTCTATACTGGCATGTGCCTTTGCGCAAAAGATTTCCTTTTGCGCAAACGCATCCATACCAGTGTAGACGCTCTCTTGCGTAAGAAAGCTCCGATGGCCATTTTAGCCATCGGGCTTTCTTGCGCAAGAAATTGATGTTACCTGTCTACATTGGCCTCTTGCGCAAGAACACTTGTGCAAGAGGACTTATCCCTGAGTGGGAGCGTCAGAGTATTTGCGCAAGAAGCACTGATTTCCTACAGTCGCAGAACCGCTGCGGGCCAGTGGAGACAGGCGGCAAGATTTTGCACAAAAGTGGCCACTTTTGTGCTAAATCTTGCCGATATAGACACAGCCTAGGTGTGTGGGTTACACTTGCAGGACTGGGCCTTAAAACCAGACACAGAGAAATAACTTCGCACTGGGAAATCTAGAGGAAAGTGCTAGACTGGATTTAAAAAAATAAAAAATTAAGACTCTTGTCATGGAAAGTGCAAAAGAGGATAGATTTGAGATGGCATCTGAATGAGAAGGCAGTGGCTTGGGGCCTGAGCTTGCACCGTTGAATTCAATGATCTTTTTGTCATTGATAATAGCAGAATCAGGCCCTCGAATGGAAAGGAGCGGGAGTTCCATTCTGGCTGAAAAAAAGGCTCAGAGAGGAGAGAGAGACAGAGGAATTGCTGGTGGAGTGGAGAGGGCAGGCCTGGGGCAAAGGCTGCAAGAAAAAGTCTTGTTTCAGTCCTGTGATAATGACTAATATACACTGAGGTGTTGGGCTGTCAGAATTCACCATCCCAGATAATGGGAGATTAGCAGCAATATGTATTCTTACCAGACACAATACTTCTGTGAACTGCTTAAAGCGCCTT